CCAGGAGGTAATGTGTGTAAACTGAAAAAAGCCCTTTATGGGCTAAAACAATCACCCAGGGCGTGGTTTGAAAGATTGAGTTGTTCAATGAAAGAGTATGGCTTTAAACAGGCCTGGCTGATTATACCCTATTTTATAAGAGAGATGGTCGTGATATTTCTATGCTCATTGTGTATGTGGATGACATGATTGTTACTGGTAGTAATCCTAGTGAGATTGAGAAACTTCGAAGCCATTTGACAAAGGAGTTCGAAATGAAGGATTTGGGTACTTTGAAGTATTTCTTGGGTATTGAGGTATTACGGTCTCAGCAAGGACTTATCTTATCTCAACGCAAGTACGTCCTCGACCTCCTAGCAGAAACTGGTATGTCGGCTTGTACCCCTGTTGACACACCCATTGAGGTAAATCATGGCTTATCTATTTATCCTGATCAGATTCCCACAAGCAAAGAAAGATAATAGAGATTGGTGGGAAAGTTGATTTATCTAACCCACACGAGACCAGATTTGTCATATGCAGTTATCGTTGTGAATCAATTCATGCATAAAACCAGTGAGCAACATATGAGTGCCGTTAATCGGATATTGACTTATTTGAAGTCCTCTCCAGGCAAGGGCATTCTGTACTCAAAAAGGGTGCATTTAGATATTGTATTCTGATTTTGCTGGATCAAGACTGGATAGAATATCCACATCAAGATATTTATCATTTGTTGGGGGCAATCTTGTGACTTGGAGTAGTAAGAAACAGAATGTGGTCTCACTATCTAGCGCCGAGGCAGAATATCGAGCATTACATCATGCAACTACCGAGCTTACATGGCTAAGACTTCTCCTTAGTGAACTTGGCTTTGGTCCAGANTTAGTGAACTTGGCTTTGGTCCGGACAAATCTATGTTACTTTTCTGTGATAACACCGCTGCTATTAAAATTGCAAACAACCCCGTGCAACATGATAGAACAAAGCATGTTGAACTTGATAGAAATTACATCAAAGATAATCTCGACTCCAAAAATATAAAGGTCCCATACATCAAGAGGGTGGAACAACTGGATGATATAATGACACATGGAGTTGCTAGTGGCCCATTCTATACAATGATATCCAAGTTGGGCATATGTGATATCTACGCACCAACTTGAGGGGAAGAGTTGAAGATAATATGTACTAAGTTGTAGTTCTTGTTATAGTTAGGGACTAAAGTCTAAATTTTCCTTTTTTCATTTTCCTTTCCTTGTATATTTTAGGTTACGTTATCAATCAATAAAATCAATTTTCTCTCCCAATATTTCGACTTTATGTTAAGTGGATCATAGTTTAGTAGTGCTACACATAAGAATTCTTACCACCTATGTTCGCTAAAATTCTTGTATCTCAATTATGTTGATTTCCTTTAAGTTATACACGATAATAATTCATGGCGTACTTATAGGGATTTTATAAATCTCAATTCATGATATTTCCCCTTTCAGGCAATTGATGGTTCTAAGCAGTCAACGTTGAGATGGCAACGAGCTAGGATTAATAAATTATATTGTATTTGAAACACAACTTTTAAATTTCATTTTTTTTTTTTTTTTTTTTTGGCTATACTAAGACATTATTTAGGCTATGTTTACGTCAATGCATTATTATTTAATATTAAGTTTTTGCAATAAATTATTGAAGTTAAAACCGCTTTTTATTTACTTCATGAGTAAAACCGTTTTTTGTTACTAATTAAGTCCCTATATAAAAAAATCCAATTTTATTTAGTGGCATTCGAATAGTCAAGGATTTGGGTTGTCTCAATTGGTTTCAGAGCTAAGAGTTTTTTTTTATCGGTTCTGTACTTAACATAATTTTCAAAATTTTGAACTTTATGAATTCTCTGTTATATAAAAAAAAATATTTGAGTTACTGTTCATCGTGGTTAATGATGTGCAATCGTTGTTCACGTGAACAGTGACGTGTGCACTATTCACGATGAATAGTGATTCATGACAGCAACGCTGCACTGTTTGAAAAAAAAAGTAATTATTCCCATTAATGGGCTTATGTAGAATATGTTTATGGAATTCGAGCTTTTATATGATATGGTATTGGGGTTTTTATTTGATATTATAAGAGTGCATTTTTGAATTAGTTTATTTTGTTGGGCTTTATTATCTAAATAGTCTAATACTATATAAAAGGTTTAGTTCAAGAATCAGTTTGGTTCAATAATTCTGGTGAGATTTTTTTTTATATTTTTTTTTTGAAAATAAGTTAATAATATTTAAATGAGAATTGAGTTGTTCTAAGTCACTAGCCACTATGCCATCCTCCATGGCTCGACTTCATTGAACCTGGTATGTATGCACTTTAAGTATTCATGTCATCTCACTTATGAAAACATGCCTATTACGCGAAATATCAATCATGAATATCGTGACAAAATATGAATATTATTTACGATTTTATTTAGGTTTGTTCTGCATAAAAGTCAATAATAATATGAAATTTTGAATGTTATAAATGTTTACTATTATACATATAATATTACTGATAGAAGACCTTAATCTTAGATTTTATATTAATGTAGAAACCATGAGGTATATAGATGGTAGCTATGTGATTTTAAATGCATGTTAAGCTACTATAGGAATGAGTCAACTAGAGATTAAGTTTGCAATAATGTAAAATCACATATTACACGAATAAGATTAATAATGAATCCACGTACAATAATTCATCCATTTATCACTATTGTAAAAATAAGGGAAAAACTGCAGATGATTATTAATACATTCTCATAAAGTTCCAACTTCTGGTACAATAATTTATTCATTTATCGCTACCTTTGAATAAACAAAGGAAAAACTGTGGATAATTATTAGTACTTTCTCTTCACTTTTCAATTATAAGTACTCCCCCTCTAAAAAAAATTATTTTTGAAAAGTTCTTTTGGAAAGAAAAGTAATTACCTTCCTTGCTTTTCGATAGATGGTGAATGAACAAGGTCAAAAAGTCAAACTGAGAGGCGCAATCATTTTACTTGGTTGCATAGGAATTACAAGAGAAACTTGATACAACACTAAGATGCCATGAAAAAGATTTACCAAGGGGCAAGAGCAAATGGATATCAATTTCATAGGGATGAGATCGTGTATCACCTTGCCCGAACCCTTGCTCCTTACTAGAGGCAGTTTGTCAAGACCTTCAACTACTAGACCTTTCCCGATCTATTACTCCGATGCATGAGGGAAAGGTGGAGGGTGAATTGTGAAGACGTTAGGGATACTAGTGGGATGCCAGGCTATAAACCCAATCCGGGCAACATCATAACAATACCGAAGTTGACTACGAGAGAAATTATATGGAAGAAGACCCAAGTGAAGAAAACAACCATGAGTCGTATTCCGCGATTGACCAGAAACAAAAAAAAAACCCGAGGAAAAACTGGAGGTTAATCAACGGGAGGGTACTGCGAAGAATTATTAGATGATGCCCAATTTGCTTTACGTTTAAATTTACGTTCTTCAATTTTTGAATCTCAACTTGTTTGGACACTGGGTATGCTTGGTGGTCCGTTATTTATGTGAACTTGTGAATGTTTATGAATAAAGCATGTAATTCATTTATGTTTCATTTCCTCAATTGGACTCAACTCTAAATAGTTACTATCATTTAATTAAAGCTGTGGCACCCCGAAGCAGAAAGACTAACAATAGCAACAACCAAACTTAAATATTATGATTTACTGATATTTTGATAATTGCATTATTTTGGTTTTGAAGATTTTAAATTTAAATATGTTGTTCTTAATTTTCTCCTTCTTTTGAAAAACGTTTACGTTTTAATAAAATGATTGTTCAAAAATCGATTCTTTAGATTTAATATCTAAAGGTTTTATTCATCATAGCCTTAGTCCGTGAGCGGTCTTCATCCTACTTACTCCAAAAAAAGGATGGATCTTGGCGTTTGTGTATTGAAAGTCGTGCAATTAACAAAATTATTGTTAAATATTGGTTTCGCATTCAACACCTTGAGGACATGTTGGATGAGCTCATAGGATCTTTGCGATTTTTTAAAATAGACTTAGGAGTGGGTATCATCAAATTAGAATTAGACCTAGGGATGAATCTGTTAAATATCGGTTATGAATCATGTCCTCCGACTTTTCATTGGAAAATTTCTCACAGTCTATTTTCATTATATATTAATTTATAGTCAATCACAAGAGGCACACTTAGATCACCTTCGACAGGTCTTCCTTACCCTTCATTCTGCAAAATTGTACGCTAACCTGAAGTGTTCCTTTCTACCATCACAATTCCTCTTCATAAGATTGATTATCTCCACCCAAAAGATTTGTGTTGATCCAGCTAAAACCTCTGAAATTCATAATTGGTAGGCACCTACAACTTTAACTGAGGCCTTAGCTCTCATGGATTAGCCTCATTATATAGACGATTCATACAAGATTTTAGTTTCATTACCGCCCCCATTATTGAGTGTATGAAAAAAGGGGATTTCCATAGGACCCCATTCGCACAAAAAGCTTTCTTAGCCATTAAGCAAAAGTTGATCGAAGCTCCCTTTTTACGCCACCATGATATCTATTAAGTTTTTGAGGTGGCATGCAATGCTTCTGGTGTCGGGATAGGTGGCGTATTAAGTCAAGAGGGTCATCCTATCGCTTGTTCTAGTGAGAAATCAAATCAAGCACGACAGAAGTATTCTACTTATGACAAAGAATTCGATACTATTGTCCGATCTCTTTGTCACAGGCGATATTATTTATTGCCCCAAGAGCTCATTCTCTATTTTGAACATCAAGCCCTTACCTCAGTTCCCAATGTGATTTGAGTCAGCAGAGAGAGTTTTAAATTGATCCTATGATAGGGGTGCTAGCAGAACTACATTTAGTTCAACTTAAGTAGTGACAACAAGGAAGAACATAAAATTTCCATGTCAATAGCAGTTGAGCAATAGGAAGCTAAATGACAGATGGAAGTAAACAAAAGGATACTAACTGATCACGCTCATGCACAAGGGTTTCCATAAGAGTTGGAAACTGCTTGCTCATTTCTTGAATTACAAGAGTTAACATGTCAACATCATCCATTTCTTTCAGCTGCACGTAAGCCCAGAAAGTTAAAATCTAGCAACCTTGTACAAACCCATATCTCCCAAATACAATGCAAATATAACGTGCATGTGATACAGGATAAAAGAAAGCCTACCATTCTATTGAGATCTGCAGGACTTGGTAAGAAAAATGCTTGAAACAGGATGGAGTAAAGTAATTTTGTCTTGTGCCAAAGAGGCATTTTTGCCCACGTTCTCTGTAATGTTATCTGTCAATTGAGAAAACAGGAACATAACATGAAAACGCACGTCACCATCAAAAGACATATGCAACAATTTGATTGCATAGAACTAAAGCTGAAATGTAATTTGATAGATCGAGATGAGTGAGGGCTCGATGACTGAAAATCTGAGAGATCAAGAGGGACACAGATGCTTTATTTATCACCAGGGAGAGATATATACTACATGTTAAATTTTCAGGAAGCTACAGTTTGAGAAAATTATGTTCAGTGTTAAATTTTTTTTGGAAAAATTCTCTACCAACAAGTAAAAGAATATGCAACCTCTTTTAGTTCCTTATTAGATGGGGAAAGTTAACACGCTAGTATGTTTTTAAAAGAAAGAAACTTGATATACCAGAAAGAAAGCGAGGAAAAGCTAATTTCAGATAGAACAACCAAAAAACAGTATGAGTTTAATGTGGCCATGGATAGCTAAATGACAGGAAAAAAAAGACCTGGACATAATCTTTTCAAAAAAAGGAGAGCACGCCCTAGCAACAAACAAAAATTTCTGCCAAAAATCATCACAAGAAACACGCATTCTAGTTTTTCAGTTGAACAAACTATAAAAGAATTAGCTTACTTGGACAGGTCGGTCACCAAGTATTACCCTGCCATCATACTTCATCGCTTCTTCATATGCCACACGAAACTCTGCCCCAGGCAAAACCTCGAGCTGACTAGCAACCTAATTATATGCAGAGCAAAAATGAGACAACAGGGCTCCAAAATTCATTCCATAAGACAACAAAATGCTACCCTTGCGATACAATTAATGAAGCAAAGGTTGTATTCATGCCTTAGCAAGAAACCAGCTGTAAAGTATCCCAAAAAGATTATGATTTTTCTTCCACATCTCCATCATTTCAGCCATCTTGGGTATCTGGTGAACCATTTAACAGTAAGTCAATTCAATTTCCAGGTTTTAAAACAAGAGTTACCAAAAGAGAAATCCAGAAGCACATTCTCAAGGATCTATATAAAGGCTAGAATCTAATAAAAAAAACTATAATGGGAAACCAAAGCTGACGAGTAAAAGCTTTAATTCAACCGAGCAGCTAGAACAGGAACATTTGGAGGCAATGAGTACATTCCAAATCTAGTAATAAAATCAAGTGCTCTATCAAATGCTGCTGGAGGCAGAGGTGAAGCCAGCTAAAGGGTTCTGTACATTGTAATGCGGAGTTAGATGGGGTAACATTGAATATTCAAGACTTATGGGGAGACAGAAGCTTATCTTATTACTTAAAATTAATATGAAAGTGAGAGAAACAAAGTACTTTCCATAGTCAAGGGGAACAATGACATTTGGCTATTCCAGGCCTAGTGATGTAAGAGCGAGAGTATAATTTTTCAAAGTTCTTCTCCTAGTATTATTATTTTTATATCACCATAAATCTTAGCCCCTATTTGGCTTAGCGAAAAAATTAGATTTTTAGTAGATTTTGCTAAAAGTTGATGAGATGTGTGGTTTAAAATTTGATAAAAGATGCGGGTCCAATAAAATGTTTGTCTAAAATTAATTATTGACTTTGACTTATATTTTTATAAACTTATAATCCAAACGGGTGATTAATTGCTGGCTAGAACCATCTAACATAGAGGCTTGTCAAGCAATAGACCAATGGACAAATTACAGGAAAGATATGATTAAAAAGAAATGAAAATTGACACAAATTTAATGTGCTCAGGCAAAATCCTGCAAAGAGAGAACCTATTCTTTAGTCATTATGAGAGACAAGTATTGTACTGGTAAGTACAACATTTCCATTGATACTCAAACCCAAGCACTCGTACAATTTCTCCAACCTCGTCAATAACACTTTCTTAACCCTTCTGTCCTTTTCGAAACTTCGAGCATACTTTGATCTAGGAGAAATGTAGTCGAGATGAGGCTCAAAGAAAGTCTGAAAGCAGTCAATCAATCACATTTGAACACAAATTTTAAGTATGAGCAACACGTGTGCATGACCCACTTCTATCCAACTTCGGGGTGGCCTTGAACAAAGCCAGTTGTTCCCAAGTATGATTCAACACTGAGTAAAGACCACCAACCACTCACTCGCAGGCCGCTTGAGCTCTGTGTTTCAGTTTATTAGCATTAATGCATTAATTATGATCATTTTGGTGGCTTCAAAAATTATTTCTCATTGTACTCAAGTCTTAAATTTATTTTTTACATCCAGATCAAATAAATTACCAATACTAATCAAGACATTCAGGTGCCTTTATACATCAGCATTGCCATGTATCAGTTGCTAAAAGGTCACAGCTAGGAATTATCGAAAAATTATAATCAGTTCAATCTGCAGCTTGTCCACTTCCTAAAACTGCGACAAGTAACACAGAGTCATGCAAAAAGTTCAGTAAACTTAGGTGCAGCTTGTCTCCAGCACCAACACAAAAGCATGCCCAAAGAAAAACCTAGAAAAAGGGAAGTTAGTTCATTCATGCCTGCCAATCTTACAAGGCAGAGTTGCTAGTAATTATTGTTGACCAGCACTTGACACAGAAAGCAATAGGAAAAGATTCCAATGTGTAGAGAGTATATGAGTCAGATGAAAAGAACCTTCAAATTCTGAGGCGTAAGGACTGCAACTCGACTTGAGCATAACTCTAAAAAGACAACCTGCAATAATAAGTAAATTCACCTGAAAGGTCTTGACATTTAAATACTAAAGGAAAGATAAGAAATCATAGCAGGAAAAAATCACGTTAACGAGCTAATAAGATTTTTCATCAATCAAGATATCGAACGAGCTTCACCTCCGGTTTCAAGAAATTGATCACAGCTTGAACTTCTTGGCAGGACTCCTACAAATGCAAGAATAATAAATTAACATATAATCCGTAAATCTCAGAGAAACTCAACAAATGCCAATGACATGGAGACGAGGTAGCAGATCTTGTATTGCTCCTAAAATATCCTATTAAATTTCCACATATCAGCTGTAAAAGATTTGACATTCAGTGTGTGGATAATTCAGTGGTCTTTATATCTTTCCTTCTTTTCATCTTTGCATTAATAATCCTAAATTTCTTATACCGGATCAAAAGCACAAGGTTTGATGCATATCATGAAAATATTACGAGCCTCATTTATTAGAAAAAAATTGAATCACCAATTTTATATCAATCTTACATTGAAAACTTCAATTCTCCTAATAAATTATACAAAAATCCAATACAGTAAAGACTTAAAACAAAAATGGGAACAAAATTAAATTACCGCAGAAACATGGGCGGTGCCAACCAAATAAACATCACAAACGCCCCCATCGGCAGATGATTCGCAACTGAGTGCCACCACACTCCTTGAAAGCTCCTCTGGAAGAACTTTCCTCTCATAATTGTGACTATTGCCTTCAGTTTCTCCATCGCCAGCACTATTTTCGTGCAGAGACTCGTTGTTTACCACGCTCTCGACGGAGCCTTCTTGGGAATTGTCTGAATTTCCATGTGGCTCGTCGCCCACGTGAATAAAATCATCGACGCCAGCGGTATCTGTTGGGGATGGAGCGTCCATGGCACGGAGCCTAAAGGCAGAAATGGGTGTGGGTTTGGTGAGACTTTTGGTGGCTAGAGATCTTAGCGGTGGATTGAGGGCACGAAAGGGTATGGTGGCGGTAGCGGTGGCGGTGGCGGGTGATGAAGGGAGGAGGAAGTGTGACTCGGCCGAGCTGAGAACAGTGAATGCACGAGCGAAGCGGTGCATGCGGTGAGTTTTTCTCCAAGGCTGACGGTTGATTTGGTTTGGGTTATGGAATCTGAAGATTTTTACATTGCTTGATTTGTTTGCATAAGTTGGAGATAAATTTCGTAAGCGATCACCCAACTTTCAGAAAAATTACAATTGAATAACTTCACCTTCATTTATCTCAATCAAATTATTGAACTTCAATTTTGAGTTTCAAATTTTACCACGCCAGCCATTTCCTGATGTATCATAAATGAAAATCGCTTAATTGACAGATTTACCTCAATTGATGTGAATTCATAAGCGATCACCCAACTTTCAAAAAAATTACAATTGAATAAATTCACCTTCATTTATCTCAATCGAGTTATTGAACTTCAATTTTTAGTTTCAAATTTTACCACGCCAGCCATTTCTTGATGTATCATAAATGAAAATCGCTTAATTTAAAGATTTACCTCAATTGATGTGAATTCATAAGCAATCACCCAACTTTCTGAAAAATTACAATTGAATAACTTCACCTTCATTTATCTCAATCGAGTTATTGAACTTCAATTTTTAGTTTCAAATTTTACCACGCCAGCCATTTCCTGATGTATCATAAATGAAAATCACTCAATTGACAGATTTACCTCAATTGATTTTTCACATATTATGTGTGGCATGCTAACTTACCACTACGTCATTACATAAAATTCGTATAAAACACATTTTAGAGAATGTTTGGCTAAGTTTAAAATTCAATTAAATTGAAAATATAGTCGTTATTGGGTCTCACCCGTCTAATAAAAGTCAACAATAATGATTAGTTTTTTAATTGTAATTCCTCCCAAACAAGCTCTTAATGTGGTCAATTTGGATGTAGAAATTGTCAAATGTATTTATCAGAGATAACCTTTAGAGCCCGTTTGGTACACATTAAAATGAGATGATGCATTTTTTTTTAAGTAGTGTGATGGAGAATATGTG